AATAGCATGACGCTTCAGGCCACCAAATCTACCCAAACTTTAGGCCTTGTGCAGGGTCCCACCGCCCATCTTGTGGAGGACCAGCAGAAGGTCGAGCGTTCCCGGATGATGTAGGCACCCCACCAAACCGGATTCCAACTTCTGGTGTCCACATACCAGACGGCGGGGGTACATTTGCTCTCGTGGGTGTCGGGGCTGCCAAAGGTTCTTCCGCATGTGCAGTCGCACCATAATGCGGGTTTTGTGCATCTGCCGCTTTCTGCTGATGTAATGAGGTTGTCGTTGCTTGCTGGAGGCCGAGGGAGCTCATTCGAGTAGTGAGATCGCTGGAACCATTAGCACAGGCGCTGGAACTGGTCGTTGCATTTGCATACCTTTCTAGATGTGACGCTTCTGACTTGCGATTGTAAGCAAAAGTGCGCGCCTCATCCCGGAATCGATTCACGATCTTAGCTAGGTCATTGTAAAACTTTCGCCCAACGTCGAGATTCGAAATGATCTCCTTGTACTTGAAGTATGCGTTTTCTAGATTTTGCAACGCTTGCTCACGCTTCTTGGTGGATTGATCGCCACGACGAGCGATCAAGAACGCCGCGTTTGCGTCTTGCAGTCGCTTGATAGCTTCTGCCTGCTCCTTTTCTTCATCTTGGATCATGTCTTGGTCGGCGTCGTACATCTGAAGACGCTTGTCGAAAAGCCCTTCAAACTGCACAGCCTCGATTGTCTGCATAGGGTACTCCCGTTCTAAGCGAGCAGCTTCGCGCAACAGCTCCGGATCTAGCCTACTGTCAGGACATGGCTCATGTAGGGATGCGTGAAACTTACTTATGTCGTCCTGCTTCGCCTTTGTTCGCAACGCCTCGATCTTCCGCCGTCGCCTACTCTCGAGCCTGCTGACTTCATTGAAGCTGCCACGAAGCTTGCCGGCCTCGCGCTCGACATCGCCAGTGATGGCCGGTCTCCGGCCGCTCGGAACATAGTTTTCGAGTTCGTGATCTGGTCCACTGAGCAGTCGTATGAAGTGCTCATTCTCCTTCAACTTCGTCTTTACGATATTATCACTGTTGGTAGCAGCCTTGAAGTAGCCGTCGATTTCGTTGATCTGGGCATAGAGCTTAGGCGCTGCTTGCTCTGCAGGTGGTCGTGTCCAGCGTTCTGTGCCAAACTTGCGTCGTGCGCCTTCGTCCTCTGTCGCTTCGGACCTCAGGATATCGACACCTTCTTGATATATAGCTTGGTCGGTGTACATGAGCTTCTTCGTATCCTCCATTGAGCGCAAGAGACGATTGATGCCATCTTGTTGACGGATCTCTTCAGCGTGCGCTACAAGACCAGGGGGAAGTCCTAGTGGCTTCTCAAGAGCCTGCAAGGAGCCGGGCAAGTTTAAGCTGCGGAGTACCTCGTGAATCTTATTTGTCAATGACTCTAGCTCTTCTACGATGGTACCGTTGACTAATCGATCCCGGCGGTCTACGTAGATGCTAGCAGCCAGATGTACTGAGTAAGGCACCAGCTTGGAGAAGAGCGCCGGGCCAAGCTCGCCGCGCTCTCCCAGCATCGAATTGGACTCGGCTATCTCCTTGGGGACTCTCGAGACTACCATGTTGGCTCGATCCAGGATCTTGAGCTCTGCCTTTGGTGGTACAGGTAGCAGGTAGATCATGTCATTGTCCTTCTCGGCCCGCTTCAGGTCCTCCGTTATCCGGTTCTTCAAGCCGTTGAGATCTGCAAGCACAACTTTGTTGATGTAGCGCTGCTCCTTGAGAGCCTCGTTGACGCACGTAAGGCTGTCGCGTAGCCGTGCGACCTCCTCGCCATACTTGCGCTTCTCGAGAGAATCGCAGGCTGCGCGGTATTGTGCAGCAGCCGCAAAGTGGTGGTGTTTTGCCGTCATGTGATGTATCCACTCGCTGCTGATAGCGTCCGATTGTATGCCTGCGTCTCCCGCCTCGTTGTATAGATCGGATACGCGGGCGGCTAGTTTGGCGATGGTCGCGTCTTTCATCCCGTCCTTGACAGCCTTCTGCCAGAAGCACTCCTGTCCTTGAGCCAGCATGAGCTTTTCCAAGCACTCGAGTGTCATGAGGTCCATGTCTTCGGGTGGCTCTGTCCGCAGCTCCGGCAGGATGGTATTCCTCAAGTGTGACAAGACTCCGGCTGCGAGGCAGAAGTTGTTGGCTGCCATCTTCAGCCCGTCTGGTGTGCTCCGGTTCGACGACATGGCCAGCTGGGAGTACATGGCCGCGAGGTTGAACATGATGTTCGCGAGTTCGAAGCGGAGGTTGTTGCGCGATGTCGGGCGGCTCGTGTTGTATCCCAGCGCAGGATACCAGGGAAACTCTACGCCGATGTCGATGGGGAACTTTCCGCTCAGCCATATCAGCTGCGCGGCGTACTGGTGCAGCTTCGGGATGTTGCTCGGGTGGGGTTCTTGGGCGTGGGTGGCGACGGACCGCAGCTTCTCGATGGTCTCGAGGTCTTTGGTGAACATGTCGGGATGCTGGTCATATTTGGAGGATATGTACTGCTTGATGGCGTCGGTGAGGTTCACAGAGTGCGAGCGCCGGAACGGGAGGAACAGGATGTTGCTGGCCATGGTGCGGGTTGTGTCGTCTGCTGGCTGGCTGCTATACTCAAAGTCATGGGCAAGAAATGTTTGGCCGTGTTTACAGGCGGCAGTGGGCGACGTCACCGCCCAACCGCCTGGGCGTGCGAGGGATGCAGCTTGAGCCCCGCGCTAGCCAACGTGGGGCGGCCGCGGCCTCAGGGTTCAGCAATTCACCTGCAGGAACGGGCTCAGCACATGCGAGACTTGGACATGGCAATTTACGCGTCGCCGCATCCAAGACACCGTGTCCCCATGTCTGAACACCGGCGAGGACACCTAATCGTCTGCTCCCGGACCCTCACTGAGCATGTTTCATGCCGCCAAAGTATCGCCATGTCAAACGAGACACGGACATTGTACATACATGGCTGAGGCGCGCGCGGTTCCACAACCCGGAAATGTCGTGATGGAGGCTCAATATGTCGGCGGGGCGCGACGGCAATCTATAACAATCTAGCCGAATTGCACCACCATCTTGAAACTTGCTCATCCGCTCCTCGCAACGTCCTTCCGCTAGTGATACGTATATATACTAGACACAGCTCCTCTCTTCGCGGTTATCAAACAAACACAACCACGCCACATCACAGCCCCGCGACCCGCACTGAACCTCGAAGTTTGCCAGCAACACCACCTACAAACCTCGTACATCATGACGCACACCTACAAGTTCAACGTTGCCATGAGCTGCGGCGGCTGCTCTGGCGCTATCGAGCGCGTCCTCAAGAAGCTCGAGGGTCAGTTTCCGATGCAGCATGCGCCGGCGGCCCAGGGATCATGTTCTAACTACTCCACAGGTGTTGAGTCCTACAACGTCTCGCTCGAGAACCAGACCGCCGAGATCACCGCCGCCGATTCGCTATCCTACGACACCGTCCTCGAGAAGATCAAGAAGACTGGCAAGACCGTCAAGTCCGGCGAGGCTGACGGTGAGGCCAAGGACATCTAGAGAGTGCAACGTAGCATGCACCTACGACAGCCTTTTTTCTATATTGTTTTTGGGTCAACGAGCGATGGATTTCACGGCTGTGTTTGCGAGCAAGCTCTGACTTTGAGCTGCCGCCACGGCCCTCTACATCTGGTGCGATGTTGTAGACGCAGCGAATAAATGAAGAATACCCTCCCACCCTAAATCCACACCTGACTATGTGAGATACCAAAATCGCTTTCGGGTGTGATGCAGGTTAAGACATGAATAATGTAGCACGTTCGAATCATTTCAGGGGGTTCCGATAGAGTCAAGAGCGGTGCACACGCGCCATCACAGTCCCCAGCGTCGCGGCATCTCGGTGTTCCACCAGATTGCTCCTGCCCCAAGCGGCGCGCAGACGTCACATGCCACGAGCTGAAGCCGGGTCGCCACGCATCATCGAGAAGCCACCGTATCCAGGCTCCCTCATTACAATTCCCATTGCTATCTTGGTCACAACAAATCTCCGGCCCTGATGTAATTCCGCGACAGCTGACCAGCAGAATCTGGTGCCTGAGCCTCAAGGCGCTCCGCCGGACCTCTTAGCCTTGAGCTCAATCTGAACGTCTCCGACTTCTTCCTTTAACTCCGCTCACAGCCACCGTCTAATCATCTTGGAGTTGTTTCAATGCGTTCAAGTGCTTATCCGTGTTTTCGGCGCTCCCGTTACGCGTGCCGCTTACCGAACGCGTTCGTCCACTGGCATGGATGCGAATTGCGATGCCTAGTCTCTCATCACGGCAGTTTACGAGGTGAAGAACAGGCAGCTACATCTGAACTGGAGCTACCATATGCGATACACGTATTCAATGTGATTCGAACGCAAAGCGATATGGGCCTGTGTACGCCTTGCTGCACGATAGGAGTCTGGTCGGGAGCAGTCGGTCACGAACGGCTTCTAACCGGACTGAGTCAGCGAGCTTCCAAGGGCACCAAGGGGCTGAGCCGCACCACACTAATGCAGATCATCGTATAGTGGGGGATGCGTATCCGTATGACGCTTGACCATACTCTTGCCCTGTTCAATTCTACCTTGGTTTCAGGGATGTACGAGAGCTTACTGCCTGGAATATATAAAGCCATCCTGAGGCCGCACGGTAATATAGCCATACACATCCAGCTCATTTGAGCAAAACACCTATTCATCAGTCAAGTTCAATCTCCACTCCATCATACCAACCGTCACATTTCCTCATGCCGTCTCCACCAAGAAGCGCAATATCATTCCCAAGTCAGGCCGACCTCTTCTATTTCTGCACCACCTCATCAACCTCCGAAGAAGACCTCAACATCCACTATGCACCTCCATCAAAATCCTCATTACGCATCGGCGTGCTAGTACTCAGCAACGACCAGATCCAACTAGCCGACCTAGCCGCACTTGACCTCCTCGCCATGATGGGAAGAAACAGAATCAGCAGAATGCACGCCACGGCATCCGCCCTCGACTCGGCCGTGGACGAAATCGACATTCGATATGTCAGTGTGACCGGAGAGGGGAGTTTTCCTGTCACGGCTGGCACGCGAATGCCGGTGACGGTGAGCTAAAGCTTCGAATTGCTCCGTATCGAACCCACGAATCGACACGACAACACCCAGCCCACCCATCTATCCATCCATACCCTTCCAAACAGCCATCTCCTCTGGCCAAGAAGAGCCACCCTTTTTGGTCGATGCTGGATTCGCCTGGTCTTGACTACACTTTTATAAAGTAGTCATCTCTGACAAGTCTGGCAGGGAGGTAAAGGTCAACAACGAGCCCCTTACCCACTATTCGCTTCAACTTCTTTTTCTCGCGTACTGTGACTGACGTTTTAACTAGAACTCGTTTGACAATGCGCCTCAATTCGACATCCTCGTCATCCCCGGCTCCTTCTCAGCGACCGCAATGCCGGTAGAAGCTACCTCCTTCCTCACCTCGCAATGTCTAAACCCCAATCTCATTGCCATCATGAGCATAGCCTCGGGGATCTATCCCCTCGTCCAAACGGGCATCTTACACGGCACACGAGCCGCAGCACCCAGATCGCTACTCCCTATGTTGCAGCAACAGTATCCCGACACGCTGTGGCAGCATGGCTCCTGGGCCCGCCACGAAAAAGTGTGGTCGAGCAACTCGGCCGTTTCGGCTCTCGATATGGTGTCGACGTGGATGCGCGAGTACTTTTGGGATAGGAGCGAGACGGTTGACTTTGCGCTTACGGCGGCGGGTATGGGCTCGCTTTATGACTATAATCACTGCGATTATTGATGATTTTATGGGGATGGTGAGCATGGAATGGCGTTCTTTTGGATATCATCTCAACTCTGTATAACAAGGGCACTATTTTTTTGGCAGGAATGAGGCGTTCTTGGAATGTTATATAGATTTGTATGAGGTTTTGTCGCAGATATGCATGTGGAATCGTGACTGAGCTTCCTTGTCAGTTGATTGTAACCACGGAAAACCATGAAGAGCCATATTCCCCCCACACGAGGATATTTTCATATATAATGACCCATCATCGCCCCCTTCGTTCCTTTTGACAAATTCCCACGCTTGGGTACCATTACCCAAAACCATGCATAGCCATAGCCATAGCCCTAGCTTGGTCCTCGTTCCGCCAGGCACTCTCCTTGACCTTCTTCTCCCGCCTGAGCTCCACTGTCGAATCAGTGCTAAAGCTCGATCGTATGTGTGCTTCATCACAACTAGGCCTTCTGTCCTCTCCGTCTCCATGGGTGCCGTTGACTGCAGCAATAGCTTCGTGTGTAACCTGGCCCAAACTGAGATGCATGGACGACATGAGTAGGGCGTCTATATCGGTACTATCGATTGTTTCGTCGCCACTATCCAGACTCATTGCCGCTGACGCTAGGAGGTGGTGGTGCGATGCCAGACTGCTCGCTTCTCCATGCGCGGAACGAAGTTCGGAAGATATACTACCGTCGCCGCCTCGCATGTTGATCATGGGATGAGGAATTGCATCGGTTTGCGCGCGGATGCCTTGCAGCCAGGCCATCGTTGTGGCATCTACCGTTTTGTGGTCATAGTAGGTGTTGAGACGTGAGTGGTACGGATATCCCAGTGCGGGATTGAATGGTAGGACCTCTCCATCGCGGCGGCGGACGTATAACTTCCCCTCGCGATCTGGTGGACCGAATCTTGCTTGCGGTGTACCTGCTGCGTCGCTGGGGGTGAAAGTGGGTTCCGGTTGGTGGTACGTGGAAGAGTTGGAAACAGGAACAATCGGAGGCTCAGCGGCTCGCGTTAGAGCTTTTGGTGATGGCGAACGTGCGCGAGGCGGGTGTTGAAGCCGTGTAGCACCTTTCAACCGAGCAGCGTCTTGAGACGCAAAGTCGATGACTTGAGGATCTCCAGTGGACGTCTCATCATCTGTTTTTCTTCCCCACCTCCCTCTCTTTTTCTTAGTCTCCACCTTCTCGACTTTCTTCGCCCTCCTGCCTCTTGGATGCTCCCAACCCCTGCTGTCCGACTTCTTCCCATCATCCCCACTAGTTTGCGGCCGATCGCGGCTGAATATAGTCCTTTGTTGTGGTGCCGGAGTTGACATGAACATCCCATGGTTTGCTGAAGAGGCTTTTCCACTTCTTGGCCACCCAGTCGCATCGGCACTCATTCCCGACTGCTTTACCGGAGGCTGTCGCTGTGAATACGTCTTGTACTTGGGATCCGAAGGAGCAGCGAGGATCAGGCGTGTGAGTTTTCCTGCCTTGGAGAGGACTGTTTGTAAGGAGTGCTTGCGCTTGATGGAAGCTGGCTCAAAGGCTGCTGGGGCTGGCACAACAGACGGGTAGCCGATCGTGTGAATGCGATCGCTTTGCTGTCGGGGCATGACCTTAGCTTTAGCTGTGATAGGACCGTGGCGAGGCAGATATTGCGAAGGTGTCGGTGAGCTGGTAGGGCGATAATCTCCCACAGCTCCCGGGCGCTGCAAATCATGCCGTCTCTCGATTTGCTGGCGCCGCATTACTGCAGTGACGCTGTCGTCCGGTGAGATAGTGTCCAGATCAGGCTCTCGCGATCCCAGTACATCCTGCTGCTGCTGCCTGACGTCTACATCGCGTCTACGATCTGCTTCCTCGTGCCAATCTCGCTGTGCTTGTATACGTCGAACCTCGCGCTCACGCTCAACCCTTCTGTACACATCGGTCTTATTCAGATCCAGAAGGTCAATTAGCTGATCATGCCCCATATTGGCGGTTACCACGGAGGAAATTGGATGGCTATCGTCGGTGTATTCGGAGGCATCATCGTCATCATCTTCATCGGGAGGATCAGTTCGCAGAAATCTGGGTGGATTCGGCGGAGGGAGTCTTGGTGGCGGAGGAGGGTTATTTCTATCCCATCTTTTCTTGTCCCTCGGACTAATTACATGGCTTTGAGCTGTGCCATCAATATTCGAAGTCTCCTGCGATCTTACAGCATCCCATGGCCTATATTCAGTCTTCGTTTCCGGTTGTGAGGGGCTTGTAGAGCCACGCGCATCGTCATTCTGAGGGGAAAGCGCACTTCGAGAATTGAGTTGAGCGAGAGCCTGGTCGATACGAGGCGAGCGGTGTCCATTCATCACTGGTACATCAGCTCCGCCATGAGTTGTATGATGTGCTCGAACGGTAAATGGGGTCATCTCCGGGGATGTTGGTACGAGTGGGGATAGCTGAGCCCCAAAGTACTGATACAAGACTGCATCAGCACGAGCTCGGGGAACAGAGCTATCGTCCGTGCCTGCAGAGTCTGGCGTATTCGAGCCTGGCCTGACGTCGCCCCCTCCAACGGGGAATTGACCATGTCGTCTAGTGTCAATAGGCGATGATCTGGCTGGCAGTCCTTGTGCTGTCCTTGTATAGTCATTATTGCGAGTTGTGGAGAAGTGCGATCGCACACTTCGCGCCGCCTGACTTTCCGGGTGCACAGCTTGATTGATTGTAGGGAAGTCCTGCACAATAGCATCCTTGCCAGGAAGATGTGGCATAGAAGTTGAACCAGGGCTTTGATCAGAACCTCCAGTATCAGGTGTCTTCCAGAGTCCTTTCAAATTCCAACCACCACCACGGAGACGCACCATGGGTGGCGATCGACCCTGATCTAAAGAGACTCGGCTTTCGGGGATGGCCTGCATATTGGGCGACATTGGAGGAGACTGCGGGGCGAAGTAGTCTTTCTTGTTTGAAGGTATGTAGTTGCCATAAACATCTCTTCCGTTATTCAATGGGGACACCGGGCAAGCAGGTCGAGCAAAAGGGCTGCTGGGTGGTGTATACTCTTTGTTACCGGTCGACAGGGACGTTGGTGGGAAAAGTGAGAGGGCAGCGTGTCTGGGAGGGAAGGGGCGACCAGAGTTGCTGGAGACCTGTCGTGGAGGATCCGGTTCCTGAAGCTCAGAGGTATGGAACCCTTGTGCCAGCCAGTCGGACACTTTCGTATCCATCGTCTCGACACTGTAGTCAGAGGCTGGTGAGCTGTGCTCAGAGCGCGTTGTGTGATAAGTGTGGATGGCAGAAGGTGGGCCGTCGCGACTTCCTTGTTGTCCCGGCACGCGCCCTTGCACCACTATCTGCTCCACAGCATCCCCGCTTCTCTCACTTAGTCGCAATGGTTCGGAATAGTTGTCTCCATCGCTCGCTTCATATTCGAGTTCACTGAAGCAGCCGTCTCCCGGAGCACCACCACTGTCACTTTTGAGCCCTCTTTCAGTCGATGTATCGCTCCCTTCCCAATCATCCCAGAGCAGACACTCTCTCTTGTCACTCATGTCCTTTCCTTCCAAGTTGACGCTGACCAGTCTCTGTTCTGTTTCTGTCAACTCCCGGTCAAGTTCGTCGAAAAGGATATGTGAGGCGGGAGACCATGGAACACTAGTTGCATTCGTATGCTCAGAAATGATAGCGCGCAGCCTCTTTTGATATGCTGAACCGTGTCGTAGTTGGCTGCGGACAGGTATGGGCGGTGGGCTTATATGCGGCTCTGCGGGACACGGAATCATGATGGTGTGCCGGCAGAAAGGCCAAGACAATGGACACGATTAACATGCAAGGTATATAGCCTAGCAAAGGGTGTGAAGTCTAACGCGTGAAGCATGTGCACTTTAGGAAGGGTGCGCCTGCATGACCGCGGAACCAGGGCGAGTGGCGTGGGCGTTTGTCAATTCCAACCTCAGCGAATGGGGCTTCGCTCACTTGAAGAATGTAGACACGTCAACTCACCGTTATTGGCGGTGCTCATGACTTCAGCGTATGCGGCGCTGCGTTTGCGATGCTGACCGCCCTGTTGGCATGCTTTGTTCAGGAGACCTGGCAACAATGCACCTGTTAGAAGCAATGCTCTCCTAGTAGTATATTTAGATAATCATGTAAATGGTGCCTCTCAAACAAGTGCTAAATCTGCTCGCACTTGCGACAGCCTATAGGAAATCAACCATATTGCCCTACAAACGCCAAAGCTTTGATGCTGACAGTGCCCGAAAATGCTGCCCTGTGCGTACAAACGTATGAACAAACAGAACAGGAGTGCTCACTGGGATATTTCCACTCCTAACCCATGACTAAACGCCCGGTAATGATGCCGATCGGTTCCTGTGCATTGAGAGACGAAACGCAGATATTTACCGTCACTCGACCTCGTTCTCTATCTTCCTACCCTCGTTCTTCAGTTTCTGGTGGACGGCTTTCAACGACTCGAATGTCAACATGGTCGTGACTGCAGCAGGTACAGCACGGACCATGTTAGTTCCCATTCCGTTGTAGAAGGCTCTCCATCCCTCTTCCTGGAGGATTACTGTGCATGTTCGCAAGATACCGCGATAGCGGGGTAGGTTTATCATACCATCCGACGAAGCCGTGCCAGGAGGGCGGGTATGAAAGCGGTCGTGCTGGCCTCCTCGAAACGATACATTATTATCGGAGTGCGAGGGCAGCGAACGTTGTTGTGTTTGCAGACGCGTGCGTAAAACTTCGTGTGGATATGTCGCCGAGGTCGCCGTCATCTTACTCAAGACTGTTGCCAGTGCAATAGCAAACCAATGCACATCCTCAGTCTTGCTGTCTGTCTGGCCCATTTCCAGGCCAGTAAACTTCATCTTGAGGAACTCGTATAGCGGGAACTGAATAGCGACGTGGGTGAGGCCAAGAAGCGCAGGTGTAAGGCCCGAGTAGAAGGAGGCAATGCCTTCCTTGAGGTACATTTTGCGAAAGGCGTCAAAGGTGCTGGTGTAGTGCCATGGCGGCCGGTGTTCGGGAGATGCGCGGGCGCTGACCTGGGACATGAGTCTTGTCTTGACGACCCATATGGGGTTGGTGACTAGCGTCGAGCAGCCACCAGCAAACAACGAGGCGATGGTCCTAGCAAGCCATTTGTTCTCTGTGACATCAATCTGGTCAGCAAAAGAAATCAGGCGCCCATATATATTACTAACCCATCTGAGGATAGAGAACATTTTTCGTCGATTCATAAGTGCTCATGTAGACGGCCCAGGTTGGAATGTACCCAAGCAGCATGGGCCCGAGTCCTCGGTACAGGCCGCGGATACCATCCTCGATCCATATGACTCGCGCAGTACCAGTGAGGCCTTTGTATACTGTGCGCGTTGGCCCGGTGTATGTCCTGGGGCGGAAAGAGCCTTGCGCCTGCAGGCGGGTCTTGATGACATCGAGCGGGCACGTCACTATGCCCGAAGCAACTCCGGCAGACGCTCCGCACAGAGCATTGACGGAGCTGTCGGGGAGCTTGGAGACCCTGACGGCGAGGGCGGCGACGGGCGAGCTCCAGGTGCGCTGCTGATTTGGGGTGGACATGTCTCGCGGTTCGACTGTCACGGCGGAAGGCGCATACCGGTCGGGAACGTTAGGCGGGGACGGCGGCGCGGGTTCGTGTGTCGACATGAGGGGTACTGCCATGGCCGACTTGTTAGAGAGCTTGAATCAGAGGGCGGGGCGAGAGGGGTGGGCGCATACAGGCCGTCGTCCCCTGTGCGGTGCCTCAGTGTTGCGGAAACCCCGCAGCACTTGAGTAACACGATGACTAGCGATTGTTCGGCTCCATTGACAGGCGGACGGGCAGTGAGGGAGTCGTGGTGAAAGCGTTCAGTCGCGTGCGGGCCTCGTGCCAGGATATGCGCTCGGAAGCCGGGTGTGAGAGGGCGGTTGTGGGCAGACGTCAGAGCTAGGTTGGAGCACGAGTGAAGTTGCTCTGGCGGGTGGGGACAGGCCGCTGATTAAGACCAAGGCCTGCGGCGGGCCAAGCGCTGCCCGCCGGCCTATTGGCGTTCGCTTCTTTCGCATTACGACCTCACCACCTCCGACCGTCAAAACTGCAATTGACGACAGCACCCGTCTCGACCCCTCCGATCCGCCGTCGAACACCCGCAATCATGTCTGCCCCGTCTCTCGCCCCCTATATCATGAAGCGCCCGTGGCTGCAGCGCTGGATGAAGCCGCTCGCCAACTGGTACTGCAACGCCGCCGGCTACAGGCAGCTCGGCCTGAGGTACGGAGCCCCGATTCGGACGCGGTGTATACACGAACATAGAAGGAGGCGGTGGAGAATATGGCCGATTCTGGAATGATGGGCTGACGGGATTTGTGATGCAGGGCCGATGACTTGCTCCCCGAGGAGAACGACGTAGTTCAGACCGCCCTGAAGCGTCTCCGACCGCAGGAGGCCTACGACCGTGTCTTCCGTCTGCGCCGAGCTTTCCAGGTACTGCCGAACAAGATATACAGGACATGGCAAATGTGGCTAATCTGCGGCAGCTCTCCATGTCCCACCAGCTTCTGCCCAAGGAGGAGTGGACTAAGCCCGAGGATGTAGGGATATCGCTTCGAACCCGAATACCAGATGCTGACAATGCAAAAGGACACACCATACCTCGCCGAGCTCATCACAGAGATCGAGTCCGAGATGGCCGAGCGCGAGGACCTCGAGGCCATGGTCATCCAGAAGAGGCAGAAGAACGCCGCCCAGGCCACCGGACACTAGAATGTATATACCGAGTCTGGGGGAATCAATTGGAGCTTGGTGGATCGAGTCTGAGGTTGCGCAATAGATTGTACCATACCAACACATTTCGTACAGGACTCCCCTCTGTTGCGCCTGGAAATACGTTTCTTTTTTCCAATATGATTTCAAGAGCTTTTACGAATGCGCGCGTGCTCAGCCGCGGGCATTCGTCTCGCAATCCATGGAAAACGACTTATCGGGGAGGCGGCCATTGCATGACGCCTGGTTTTGGCTTCGGAAAGCAACGCACAGATACAACCGGAAAATGATGAATGACATGCACCTTCTATGCACTTCATAGGAATCGTCAGGCATGAAGTGATGAGCTACTGCACGACTAAGACCGAAGACATGGAATTGCCGTGATGGTAGATAGAACATGACCGGCTGAAAGACGCGGGAGAAATTCACTTGAACAACTATCTCAGATTCAAGAAATGAGTACCATTTCTGCATGCCAATGCCGAACTTGCAGTACGTTATAGCATTTGCTCTTGGAAAGGGGAGAGCGACTACGGGAATCCGAAGTTACTATTCCGTCCTTGGTCACCACAACTAAATGCTCGAACAGGAGGATACCTGCAAATTCGCAGGATTTCGTGTACTCGATTAAGCTTTTTTGCACCTCGCCATGTTTCTATATAGAGCGAGTGATATGCCGATCCTCTCGCATACGACAGATGCGCAATGTCAGGGTTCCGGATATGTCAGCGCCACGCTGTCATGTGCCCAGGCGTCAGCTCAAGAATAGCTTCCCGCGCATCGCGTCAGGCTCCCCACTTGCGCAACTAACAATGCACAATCATTGACCCGTTTTCATGATTGCAATAAGAGTTTTGAAGCAAAGAGTACGTTGTCGCAGTCTCGCAGCTGTCCCATTCTTAACCCTATGACGTCAGACTATCCCATTCACCAGAACGGTTAACGGCCTGTACAACCCTCACACCATGTCTTTGAGACGTTCTGCTCGCGTCGCCAGCAGTATTGTACAAGCCCCGTCAGATGCCAAAGTTCAGAATGGTGTTGCAAAGTATGAGAAAGCTAGCAAGGCGAGTGTACCCACGAAGAAGCGCAAAACCATAACAACATCTGCGCCAACATCGGACGAGACGAAGAGTAATGTTACTGCGAATGGAAAAACAAACGAAGACAAAGTCGTAGACTCGGCAGATTCAACTTCAACGCTCCCTGCGACACCGCTCCCCAAGAAGCGTAAAACAGCATCAAAATCAGCAGCGTCATCAGAATCACCACTCAACCCACCCCCTTTCACACCCACACCTGCGGGTGCCAGCATCTTCTCCTCAGCCCCCACATTCTCACCTTCAGATCCAACCACCCGTCCAGCAGAGCCCCACACAACAAACGCCAACCTAGCCACGCCCAACGGATCCCACGTAGTGCAAGCCTACGCATCCTCCCCCGCGAAACCCACCGACCCTTCTCCAGCCAAGAAAAGGAAAGCAAAGGAACTTGTTCCACCAGACGTTGGTGCCATTCCACCCGCGAGCACGAACATCGATAATCTGTTGAAAGAAGCAGAGGACTTTCTTATCAAGACGGATCCTAAACTGGAAAAGGTGGTGCGAGGGCATCAATGTGGGATTTTTAGTCCGGAGGGGCTGAGGGAGGTGGTGAGGCCGTTTGAGGCGCTGGGGAAGGGGATTATTGGACAGCAGGTATGTGGATAGTGATATGAGTGAGCTGGTAGATAGAGTCTGGAGCACACCGTCGCAAGTCATATACAAAGAAGGCTTTAGAATGAACATGCAAAACTAACCATCCCCTACAGGTATCAGGCCAAGCCGCATCATCCATCCGCGCAAAGTTCACCGCCCTCTTCCCCGACACCCACCCGTCCTTTCCAACGCCCACTCAGGTCCTCACAAAGGACATCGCAACGCTGCGTACAGCAGGTCTCTCACAGCGCAAAGCCGAGTACATCTACGGCCTAGCCGAGAAATTCGCTTCTGGCGAACTCTCAGCCGAGATGCTGGTTAGTGCCAGCGACGAAGAGCTCATCGAGAAGCTAGTAGCGGTGAGGGGCTTGGGGCGATGGAGTGTCGAGATGTTTGCTTGCTTTGGGTTGAAGAGGATGGATGTTTTCGCGACTGGAGATTTGGGTGTACAGTGAGTTGAGTTTTGTGCGCTTGAGAGATCAGCGTATGCTTCTTTGATGGATAATGTGACTGATGTGTTTGCAGACGGGGTATGGCCGTGTACGCGGGCCGCGATGTGAATAAACTGAAGGGTAAAGGTGGGAAGTGGAAGTAAGTTTTTGTTCATCAAGCCCTCACACATCAGTGTAACATGGACTAACGGACGCCATGCAGATACATGACGGAGCAGGAAATGCTCGATATGGCTTCCAAGTTCTCGCCTTACAGGTACGTCAAACTCCAGTGCAAGCTTTCAATGGCAACAAAACTAATATTCTCCTCTGCCAGGTCGTTGTTTATGTGGTACATGTGGCGAATTGCCGATGTGGACGTTAATGTGTTGCAAAAGACTTGATTGTCGGGAATAGCTTTCCTATGGAGAAACGTTGGTCACTGCAGTGGAATACGCATGTACAGTATGAGGCCTATGTGTTGTAGTGGAGTCGATGATCTGTTTGGTGGAGATGCAATGTGGGTCGAGGACGGTAGACTACATCCATCGTGGATGGACAAGGTGTATTATATAGCAACGCTCGACATTGGCTACTGCGTTGGTATGCAACAGATTGTGGCTTGCTTCCAGTGGCGAAGCTCTCGCCACGATTATTTACAAACTGTTGTTGCTGTGTAGGCATGGGATGAAATGCTGGAGAAACTCAGTATCGAGACAGAAAATGCCAATGTATGGTGCACAGAGCCCTTTCATGTGGGCAATGATGTCCCGCAAGAGATTCGCATGTAGGCAGGTCGAGAAATATGTTGTAGTAAATTGGAGTGATGTGAGAGGACCGAAACAAGAGCAGCCTCTGCTGATGACCCAGCAAATGTTTGGTTCACCAGAACACTGGCGCAAAGTTTGTATGCGTGAACTGTCAGTAAGACCCCGCAAACGCATAAACTAAGAAACTAGGTCAAACATGTTCGTATACTCGGCTTCGTGTTCCCCTCGAAAGTGAAATGTTACTGATGTACGATGTCGCAAATGCCCATGATGTTCGAAGTCGCGAATTGTGGAGGGATCAGAGACGGACCCACTAATCGGCCAGAAAGGCTTATTTCAGTACTGCCGCAAGATGAGGTCGGAAGCGAAAAGCGGCGCGAATGAGGAAGGCTGCAGCGCTCGCTCCTTGTATGTAAAAAGTAAGCTCAACGAAACGACATTGACCACGGGCATCTGTGAGGTCGGCAAAGTGGACTAATATTTAGAGTTGATGACTTCAGCCCATCGATGGAAGACTCGAACACCTAGCTCTCAGAGGAGGATGAATCGTTTCACAATTCTACATTACCTTAGACATCTATTGACTGTTACTTGTGTGTTCGTCTGCACGGCAGTGCGACTGTTGAGTTTCTTCGTTGTAGGAGGTGGTGGACCATTCTAGAAAAAATCCGAGACTGAAACAATTGTAACTGCCGACGTCATGGCAGGAAACATGACGTTGTGCGTGCGGCGCAAGTGGACCTCTGGAGCCCCAGGCTGGAAATGAGAGGTCAATCAATGCGCGTCAAGCAATAAGCTTGGCAGGAAGGATCGAAGGTGAGGCTGTCGCTTGGGGTGGACGATAAGCGAGATGGTTCATCGCAACAGCCGTCTGGAGAACGAGAATAACGAAATGAGGCGCAATGCAAAAGTTGGGGCGATATGGATATAAAGGAGAGGCGAGTGCACATGGCCGAAAGCAGCAATGAAGCTCCAGCGCGCAAGGTCGTGGTGTAATTATAACCGCTGTTGGGGTTCGCATCTCATGAGATTGCAACGGCTGCGCTATACCTAACTCGGGTCTGGCCCATCAAGGGTGTAACCGCATTGAAACCATTGGACAGGGGTGGCGGATATAGTAAAAGGCCGCGTAATAATCCACGGTGCTTGTTGTGTTTCGTGTCGGCCAGACAGTGGCAAAAGAAGACTCTGGATGGGCGGGCATGGAGCGAAGGTGCCGCATTGCCGCGTAGTGAGCGGTTACCAGCAAAACTAACAGGTCCGTCGACGACGGATGGAGACGTTGGGGAGCAGCGGAATGGTGCGGGCACAGTAGCGGACGGCCGTCTCCTAGGGCGACAGAGCGGCGATCCAGACGCCACCCCTGTTGTTGAGGCTCACGCATGAGAGGCTGCTGTTTGCGGACGCTGCAAGGTGCTTATCAGGGCAGGCAGAGGGTTCAGAGCTTGAAATTGGGAGCAGCGTGCTCGGCACGTGAAGCTAAGAGCGACAAGCAGCGTGCGGTGGCAGGCGACGGGCGACGGGCGGCGAGGAGGCATCATGGATAATGGATGCAGAGCTGTGGTAGCCCTCGCCTGTCAAACCACTCCGTCCGCGCGCTCGGTACGGCCGCCGTGGTGCAGTCATGGCAACACGATGCGGGTAGCCACGAGCGTGCAGCATCCACGGCACTGCTGGCGGTGTCGTCGCGCGCAGGCGGCGAAACCATCTGCACCAGCAACCAGTGCGTGGCCCCAGGCCCGCTTGCAACATTCACTCTGGCTTGCTTGCTTGATCGATGATGGTGGGCACGCTCTGGCCGCCTATGATCTCCACCCGGCCTCACTAGCGTCATTAGCGGCTGCCCGGACTGGCACCACCGCGCTCCCCTTTTCTCGCGCCTGCTCCCATTAGAATGCCCTCCTGCCCTTTCTCTCTCAGTCTTCACCCACACTCGCTACCGACGACCGCGCCTTCTTGATCGCGTCTCTGGGACTACTCTATTTAATACTGCCTGCTTTACTTGTTAATTCTTCCCCTCGCTCCAGCATCTTTCCACGCTCGACAACCAGCCCGCAGCACCCGCACAACTGAAACCGGAACGAGCAGTCTTAATATCC